CATGTTTAGTTACGAAATGGATCAACTGACCATATAACGAACCTGGAAAATCGGGGAAGATTTACCCAATATTTGGGTGATTTCCCGATTTTTTGTTCAATAATTGAAACTGCATTGATTTTTAAGGGTTTTAAACTGTGTATCGTTGTTGTTTTAACAAAAAGGAAAATAAAAAACAAAACATATAAAAAACAGTAAATAATGGGAAATTAGGACAAAGGGTTTTTATAAATTTTGGAAACGGTACAGAGTTTTAAAATACAGTTTATTTCAAAGAGCTTGAGAAATGTTGTTATTGTTATTTTATTTGTATACTTAAAAAACAAACAAAAAAACAAAATAACCAACATTATATTATTTATACCATAAATAACCATTTTTTATACCCATTATTAAAAAATAACAAAAAATATTTTCATAAATTAATAAAAATTTATTAAAATATGTAATGAATATTTGTATAGTTTCAAACAATTGAATAAAATATTCTTTTTTTAAAAAATAAAATTATTGGTGGTAGTTTTTGATTATTCAATAAATATAAAAATATAATTCTATACATAGGTGTGGCGTATATCTAAGAATTGTATTTTATAAAATCAAAAAAATGTTTTGTGGTAAGTTTAAATTTTTTAATTATAATATTATAGTTATGAATAATTAATAAAAATATTAATTTAAATATTATAGTAATATTGTTACTGTATTTTGAATGTATATCCAAAATCGTATTTTTTGAACAAACATAGTCAGTTATTAAAATTTAGTCAATTAAAAGAGTTTATACGAATATATTAAAAATAATTATCGTTATTAGTGGAATACTCCACTCAAAATCAATTGCGATAAGGTTCTGATATATTTTTTAAAACAATTATTATTATTTATATTTATTTATTCATTTTATTTATCTGGAAATAAGAATGTACTTTTTGTGTTATGTCATTAATGACGTTGGATATATCCACAAGGACAAACTAGGGTTTCTAAATTTCCTGTTTATGTAAACTCACACTATAGAAGGTGGATGTGGGCTGGCTTTTAGACTAACCTTTAATTCAATTTTCTAAAAACGACTTACTTAACTTTACAAAAAATTAATTGACTTCAAAATCGGTATTTTTAAATTAAACTTTTGAGCTTTTGTTGAAAACTGTTTTAAAGAAACATTTGGACCAAAAAATCCCTTTAATTGTTTTTATTTCAATTTTACCCATTACTAATTGAATCTTTTATTAACCGCCATATGTCTTTTTTAGTTTTAAGATGGCAAATAAACATTTTTATATATTTATTGTTTTTAGTATTGGGAATGTATAATATCCAATTAAAGATCTTGCTTTCAGTGTATAATATACAAAATATAATTATGAAGTTATCTTTTAAAACTAAAAATAGCACTTGGTCTGTGTTAATTGTTAATTTAATTGGATGATAAAACAACTAATTAAAATGACTATTTTAGTGTTGTTAATTTATCAAAGATATGGATAATGATGTTTTTTATAATTAATATATTTAATGTTAAAAATTTACAAAAATTTTAAAAAAATGCATATATTTAATTTTTGTTTTAAAAAATTATCAAGACAGATA